GCCCAGGCTGCGACCGCGGGGGGTACGGCAGCAAAAACCAAAGTGGGGTTGGGAGGGAAACTACCGGTTTCTTATAATTTTTTTTGGGGGGGAAGGGGTAAATATATTACTTAAAAATTTATGGCATATTGATAAATCTTTATTGACAAAATATTGACAATGACATACTTCTTGGAAGTATATAGTGTGTTAGAATTCTAACAAATTAAACACAAAACACAAAAATATTTACATTCTGGTATAGAAGACATGAAGGAAACATTTGTCACTCTTTTTTTAGTAGCTCTATGATCTCGGAATATTATTAGGTCAGTGCGTGAAAATTGCTCCAATGAAAATGGCCATTAGAAAAAAAAATATTTAAAAAAAAAAAAAATCAATCCGCGATTTTAAGTCCCTTTTCTCTGGATCCTCCCAACCTGGGAGGTGTCCCCACCGCCAAACCTGGTCGCTGGGTTTGCGTTTTATTAATCTTAAAAAATAATCGTCATCCGGTTTTGCAATGGGGATACAACTGGGGGGGGAATAATTTGATTTGATTTTTTTTTTTTTTTTGGCAGCAAAAGTTACGACCAGCCCGAAACACCCCCCCCCTCCCTTTCCCTCCCGTCCCTCCCCTGCCCCACCGTGTTTGTCCATCCGGAAGGAACACTATGCTTTGTTACTGCTACTTCATTTAGCTTTCACAAACACTTTGACGCCAGAAGTTATCATAAAATGTTTACAGACTGCACATTTCTCGTAAAATAAAATTAAAAAGCACACAGAACCTGTCTTAAAGGGAAAAAAATTACAATTCATTTCTGTCTTTAGGAACCGGGGTAATTTTTTTCCGTTTTTTCTTTTTTTTTTTTCCTTTTTTTTTTTTTTTCTTTTTTGCCCAGACGGCTTTACACATGCAATTCAAGTTTCTGAAACAGGTGTGGGTTTTGGCTGCTTATGGAAATTTCTCTTTGAAAGACGGAAAAAACTGTGAAGTGCAAAATGTCCTGTAAGGTGGTAATTTTTCTGGTTTGGTTGGGTTTTGGGGGTTTTGTTTCGGTTTTTTTTTTCTTTTTTGAGATTTTTTTTTTCGAGACTATTTTTTTTTTTAATTTTTTGACTTTATGCTTTTAAAAGCGGACTGCGAGAAACGGAATACCTGTCAATCACCTCGTCCCGGTGTTTTGGCTTTGATTGACAGATCCCCCTTGCCAGAGCGGTGCCGGCAGTGCCACAGTTCGGACCCCTCGCGGTGTCGCCCTCGCTCGCTCCCAGCTGCCCTCCCAGGCGGGAATCGCATTTTTGATGAAGATCTCCGTGTCCCTTCCCCGCACCGCCACGCCGCGGAATGGGGGGGTGTGGGGGGGTGGGGTGTGAGCCTTTAACACTTTCTGTTGGTGGGGTGCCTGGCTTTGAGAAGTCCAAAAGTGCCAGTTTTTTAATCGTCCGACGTGACGTCGATTTCCTCTGGGCTGGCTTGTTTGGTGGCGATTCTCCACCGGTTAATGTGATGAGTCCCTTTTTTCTTCTGTTGTGAGTCTGAACCTTCCTCTTCCAACTTTTGCCGCTTGAACTTTGTCCGTCTGTTCTGAAACCATACTTTTACCTGCGGGAGGAAAGGCACCGGGCGTTACTCCGACGTCTGCCCGGACGCCGGTACTGCCCGCCGCCCGCTGCCCTGGACGTGCCGAGAGGCTCCGTTCCCTGCCTGCACCGTTCCCTGCCTGCACCGTTCCCTGCCTGCTCCGTGCCCTCCCTGCTCCATGCCCTCCCTGCTCCATGCCCTGCCTGCCCTGTGCGCTGCCTGATTCGTGCTCTGCCTGCTCCGTGCCCTGCCTGCATCGTCCCCTGCCTGCACCGCTACCCAGCCTGGAGGGTGGCGAGAGCAGCAGGGACCCGTGTGCCACCCAAAACTCTCCGGGAAAGGCACAGGCACGCTGACCCACGCCCACCAGGCAGCTCCAGAAGACCCACGCGTGTAGCAGTGGGCAGCCGCGGCGGTGCGTGT